AATTTTAAGATGGTTTTGTATCTGATACTTTCCTGAAAGTGTTTATCAAACTTAATAGTTTTTTTGTGGAGCCTTTAGCATATTTTAAGTATAAGATCTAGCACCTGAAAATTGCAATAATTTGACTTCTGTTCCTATTTGTATCCTTTTTATAAAAATTATTAAGTAGTGAAGCCACTCTAAAAGAGGAAAGAGACCAAATAGAACTTATAGAAAAGAAAAAAATTCTAACTGCAATTCAGATTGGACATTAAGTAAAGCTGAAGACATAATTGGTTAATTGGACCATACATCTTAGAAAATTATCCAAAACACAGCATAATTAAACAAAGTGCCTACAAAAGAGAGGCGAGACAAAATGGCTGGAAGACAGTACTCAAAAAAGCACTGAGAATTGACCAAAGTTAATGGGGATAACACATGGCTCCAAATTCAAATGAAGCTCAAGTAGGAGATTAAAGAAAAAGATAGTAGTCCATGTGAAGATAAAGAATAAAGTATAATACTTCTGAATACTAAAAACAAAGAGAAGTTCTTAAAAGCAGTCAGAGAAAAGAATGATTACTGACAAAGAACAGTGACTTGACTGAAAGCTGACTTCTCAACAGCAGTAATGAAAGCAAAAGACAATGGAATGCTATCTTCAATGTACTTTGAGGAAATACTATATCAGTAACCAAGTTTGCTACTAGCAGATGCTCTTAAAGACCTGAAGGGTATACAGAAGGTAACACCATAAATGAAATAGAAATAGAAATTAGTGAGATTTTAGCACTAAATAATTGGATCCAATATGAAGAAATTTATGAAATTTTAACAATGGTTACTTATAACAAAACTGATAACCATAAATACATACAATAGAAAAAATGAAAAGGTAGAAATTAGTGAGCTAAGAAATCAGTTTAAAGGCTGGGCACCAGTAGCTCAAGCCTATAATCCTAACTACTCAGGAGGCTGAGATCTAAGGATTGTGGTTTTAAACCAGCCTGGGCAGAAAAGTCCCCATTAGACTCTTATCTCCAATAAACCACTCAAAAACCAGAAGTGGTGTGGCTCAAGTGGTAGAGTGCTAGCCTTGAGCATAAAGAGGCTCAGGGACAGCTCCCAGGCCCTGAGTTCAAGCCCCACAACCCAACCACCACCACCACCAACAACAAAAAAGAAATCAGCTTAAGGTAAATAAAAGAATAAGAGATGAGCTAGAAGTTCAGTTCAGTCAGTTCAGTAATAGACTGCTATATGTGTAGCATGAAGCCTTGGGGTCAATTTTAAGTCTCCCCCAGTACCAAGAGTAATAATAAATAATAATAAAATTAAAAGTAATGTTAAAAGAAAAGTTCAAAGAATGTAAATGAGATAACAATAAAACAAAGGAAACAAGTAATATATGGGCTCAAAAACATTTTGATTTTTTAAAAAAGATTTAACACATGCCGAATGAGTCTAATGAAGGAAAATCAGAGTAATCATGCAAACAGCGTGAGGAATGCAGAAAGATAATTACACATTCAGAGATTAAGATGTTTATAATAGGGGGGGTATAAAAAATGAACTGAAAATTTTTGATAAAATGAACGAATCTTCAGAACAATACAATTTTCTAAAACTGACAAGAATTAGAAAGTCTGAAAAAACCTATAACAGCCGTAGAAATGGAATCATTCACAAAATCTTATTTAAATAAAATAAAATTCCAGCCCAGATATGTCTACTGGAAAAACTTCCTATTCCAGAGTATAAATAAGGAGAATGCATTCCAGCTAAATTAGGTACAAACAAAGACCATATGCGAAAGGGAAACCATGACTGCCAATGTCATTCATGAATGCAGTTGCAAAAATACTACAATATTAACCAACTGCAGTGACACTGATCAAGATGCAATGTACTCCTAACCTGACTCATACAGTTGTAACATCTCTGTACAAGTAAATGATGAAATTAAAAAATATTAACCAACTAAACCTAGCAAGTTGAGATTTACCTCAGGTCTGCAAGGATGCTTTAATGTTCCACAGTCCTTTATGTAATTCACTATGTTAACAAATTATAAGGAGAAAACATTATTATATAAGCAGATGACATTGTAGATTTGGTTAAAATTCAGCATCAAATTATCATGCAAAAAAGTCTCAAGACAAGAATAGATGGGAATTTTTATAATTGCTTAAATGATATCTATACCAAACCTACAATGAACACTGTATTTTATGGGACCTACCGGATGTTCCCCATTGATCAAGAGAAGACAAGTATGCCCATTATCACTATTTAAATTCAGCTTTAAAAAGAAGCTCTCAGTAGGTATGTTAAATCAGAAAATAATTGGTGAAGGTATTGAAATGGAAAAACAAAACTGCTGATAATATTTGCAACTGTTTTGGCTCCTCTCCAATCTTAGAAATCACTAATATCATCTGCTAAATTATTCAGAATGAACAATGGACACATGCCTGGGATAGCACTTTGTTGCTTCAAGTTTAGTTGTGAGAAATTGAAGCAAGGTTCCATTTTAAATGGTTTGCTATCTGAGATGTTGGAGAGGTAATATAATTTTATTCAAAAGCATATTCAGGAATAGACTCACATATTTTTAAAATAGAGAATTTGTCCTTTTAAAAATTTTGTATTCAGAAGGTAGGTGCCTGTAACTCATGCCTGTAATCCTAATTACTCAGGAGGCTGAGATCTGAGGATCACAGTTTGAAGCCAGCCTGGGCAGGAAAGTGAGATTCTTATTTCCAATTAACCACCAAAAAGCCACTAGTGTAACTGGCGCTCAAGTGGTAGAGTGCTATTTTTGAGGGGAAAAAAGCTCAGTGCCTAGGCCCTGAGTTCAAGGTCTAGGACCATGCGCAAACACACACACACACACACACACACACACACACACACAGAGTTGCTGAAAACAAGACCTAGCACACACACACACACACACGCGCACACACACACACACACACACACACACACACACAGAGTTGCTGAAAACAAGACCCCCCCCACACACAGAGTTGCTGAAAACAAGACCTAGATCCAGATTCAAGTCTGATTATGAGGGTTTTTTTGTGTGCTGATACTGGGGCTTGAACTCAGGACTTTGGCATAGCTGTCCTTTAGCATTTTTGCTCAAGGCTGTCACGGTAGCACTTGAGCTTCAGCTCCACGTTTGGCTTTTTGGTGGTTAATTGAAGACCAGAGTCTCACTGGTGTTCCTGTTTGGGCTGGCCTTGAACTGTGATCCTTAGATCTCAACCTCCTGAGTAGCTAGGATTAAAGGTGTAAGCTACCAGTGCCTGGCTTATTGTTTACAGTAATTCTTAAGGTAATGAGTAAGACAGCCAGTCACAGGGATCATCATGTTTGTTGCCTGATTTTCTGGGGTTTTGAAAATTCTTTTTATATATGTTTTATTCTAATATCTTGAAAACTGTTATTTCATATGTTTTTCTGTTTGTGCTTGGTTGTTTCAGATGGGTAAGTAAATCTGGTCTGCGTCTGCATTACCATGTTGGCCAACAGCAGAAGTTAATTTAATTAAATTGCTTATCATTTCTTGAGTTATCTTTTGTTAATAAAGGGCTGACTTACCACAATATTTTATTCTGGTGCAATTGCTTGACCTTCCCCTTAGAAGGATACATACATTTTTCAGGTTTATTTGTATTGTCTTGAAAGCAGTTAGTAATTGAAAGGCCCAATCTGTGAGAGCATGTAAAGTAGGAGCCCTGAAATTAATGAAAAATTCCTGAAAGCTTTACTTCTGCTACCTACTTTGTTATTGATGAGTGTTCACTAACGAAGGGTCTGAGGTCAAAATAACAAAAAAGAGGTCAAAAACCTCTGGAATTTTGACCCCGTGATGTGTCTCATAAATTTTAATGACAGACAGATTGAGAGACCTCAGTGATGGGCCCACATGGTTATAGTCTATCATGTACTGGCACCGACTGAACATCTCTGTGATGTGAATTATATTTGTGGAAAACAGCAAACTCCATTTTCTAGCTTGTCTGATTCAACAAAGGTAAACAATAATTCTCAAAAATATTCATACTCTTAGTACATTATGATTATTTGTTTTAAGGCAAAGAACATTGTCCAGATTAAGCACACATACTACATACAGATTTGTGAATAAACTATATACAATTATATATACATGGCGTTTTTAAAAGTAGTTTATAAAGAATGTAGTTTAACTTACCAGTATGTGACCCTAAACTTATTTCTTGCTTGTGATCATGGGCTTTATTTATAAATAAACAGCAATTTTCATTGTTAAGTTACAATTCAGATGTCTGTGGCTTAATATTCTCTGTATCTCACAAAATTAAAAAAAATGTTGAGTCTATAGCTTCCTTTCAAAAGACCCTTCAAATATGGCCAGCTTATTTTTGAAACAGATTTAGTTATCCAAAGTAATAATGATCATGGAGGAAAAAAATAAATGGAGATCTTTGAAATAAATCAGTCATTTCAGTCCTTCACTTTTGGCTTCTTCCATTGCTGGTTGAACCATTCATGGGAGCATGCACATAGTGGCAAAGCTACCTCCTCTGCAAGACTCCTTTCCTTTCTGCAGTCTATGCATTAAGCTAACAGGCATTGCATAGCTGAGAGCTAGGGAAATAAGCAAGAAGCTAAAGAAGACTATGACTTTTGGCCTGGATCATTTGAAACGAAATCATTAACATCAGGTTAATGAGAACTGACCACGTTTCCTGTGTTAAGTCCCAGTTTTGATCACAAGGAGACTTTACTGTTTTACCCTGTCTTCATCGTACTCAGACTATATAAATATGTGAGTTAGAGGGAAGAGGAAGATGAAAAAGGAATTGGAATTTAAGACAACTTTAAGACAATTTATTTAAGACAATTATGCCTTCAAAGGGATTAAAATGTACTCAATGTTATTGCTATTCCTACCTGAGTAGAATAGTTTTGTTTTGTCTTCTTTTGGGGGGATTGTCCTTAACAGTATATGTATTTCTTTTCAGCTACTAAATCGGGATTGCTACCTCCACCACCTGCACTCCCTCCAAGACCTTGTCCATCACAGGTAGGAGATAGATTTGATTTTTGCAAACCATTTGGTAGTAGACAAGCTGTGTGACCACTGTGCTTCTTTGTAAGGGTTGATAGTCACAGAAATGGTCAGACTCCCATGATAATGTCCAGATGAGCAGAGTGGCTTATTTTTTTTTTTTTCATCCAGCCAGCTTCCAAGCTTCATGTGGAAGAAGGAAAATTTCCTCGATAAGCCACTAAGAAATGTGTGTTTTTGGTTTATTTTTGGCCATTGAGGTTGTGTATGGTTGTCATAAAGACACTGTAGTAGCTATATCCCTCCAGTTGTTATTAGGGAATGCGTTTGTTCCATATAGTACATTCTGCATAGTACATGAGGCCATATTCCACCACCATTTTAGAAGCTCCATTAATCCCACGTGAACTAACAATAAATGGTCATCAATATGATGCTATCTGGCTCATGGTGCTTTCTTCAGGCTGTTGTTTTCGGTTAGAACAATAAGATGGAACAGCAGAAGTTGGGAGAGTGTGACATACAAACCTGTTTTCCCTATAAAGGAATTGTAGCTTATTTACATGTACTACTATGGCCTGACTTATCACCACACTTCACAGATCTGAAAGTGAGAAGGAAATGGTAAATTGATGGGGTGTGGTATATAGTACTACAGATCTCTCCTTTCATTAGTTACTGTTAAATACGCTTTCTATATTTAAAGGTCCTTTCTAACTTTTGGCAGAAAATATTGAGAGATTTCTCTATGGACAGTGCTACTTCCCATCTTATTGCTCTGAATGGCTCAGAGCATACCTTTCCATGTGGCTAATCTCATCACTTGAGTTACTAAAACCATTGTAAACATTTGCTTATTCTTTCTTCAACTAGAAAGTCTTTAGCATACACTCAACCATGAGGTACAAATACCATGAGGTATTGGCTTCCTGCTTTAGTTTGAAGAATAATAAAAGCCCACTTCTTCCTGACCTGCACAGACACAAGTGAGAACTCCCTTTAGGAAATTCAGCATTGACTTTAAGAGATATTGATCAGTTGGCAAGGAACTATTGAGTGTATACTGATTATGTAATGCCAAACCTTAGTTCTAACCTATACCTTTCCTTGGTCCTAATTTCTGCTTATTCAAAATTATTGGCTATGTTAACTGAGCATAAACCATAGACCATGGATTGTACTAAGTGCTTTTCTGTGTATAACTTCATTCTTATAAAATGCTTTTATAAGAATGCTTTTATAAAAGCATTTTATAAGAATGAAATTTTGAGGTGGGTGCTGGTAGCTTATACCTCTAATCCTAACTACTTAAGAGGCTGAGATCTGAGGATCAGAGTTCAAAGCCAGATTAGGCAGGAAAGACTGTGAGATTCTCATCTTCAACAAACTCCCAAAAAGCCAGGAAATGGCTCAAGTGGTAGAGTGCTAACCTTGAGCAAAATAAGCTCAGCAATTGTGCCCAGGCCCTGAGTTCAAGTCCAGGACTAGACCAAATAAAATAAAAGCCTTATCAGGCAGACACGAATATTCCTCTTTTTTTTTTTTTTTTGTCAGTCATGGGGCCTGAACTCTGGGCTTGACTACTGTCCCTCAGCTCTTCAGATTAAGGTGAGCATTCTACCACTTGGGCCAAAGTGCCACTTCCAGCTTTTTCTGCTTATGTGGTGCTGAGGAATTGAACCCAAGGCCTCATGCATGCAAGGAAAGCACTCTACCACCGAGCCACCTTCCCAGCCCCCTCTTTTTTTTTAACAGATGAGAAAGCTAGAGCACATTGGACTTAAGCATGCCATCAGGGTAGCATAACTAGTAAATAGTAAAGCCAGTTCCCAAATGGAAGTATTTAGGCTCCCTCTCTTCCTATCCTTAGAGTATAAGCACCCATATCTATAGCAAGACAGTAAGTCCCTTGCACTTGTAACTGTTGTTTGCATCACATCCTCTTAAGGGGAACCGAGATGAATGGAGGATTCCATTTGGCATCCACAGCCAACCTGGACTTGGTTGCAACAAAATTAGCAAGCATTTTGGGGATGCTTATCTACCAGCTGCTTATTTCACAGCCTCTGCTCTCGAGCCACCTGGATAAATATGTTGAAGACTTGTCTGAAAATGCTTTTGCAACCAACCCCCTTATCTTTCCCCTGTGGCACAAATGACAGTAGTTCCTTCCTGTTGTGCACTGTGCTGCTGCTATCAGCAGTCCTCATCTGAGCTGCTTGAGGAGGGCTTCCTGCCTGCTGTGGGGCCTAGCGACTGAGGATCTGACAGGGGGACTGGGAATTCTTGAATAACTGTTAACAAATAAGTCTGCTTCTTTGTCTACCAGATTTCCCAGCACAATGTAAACACTGAGCACAGCACTCAGCCCAAGCTTCCAGCTCAGCTGCCTAACTATGGAGATTTCAGACGACAGGAACAGATGTGTAAGAAATGCAGACAGAAAAAAATCTCTAGGCTATTTCCCTTGCCCATCCTTCCCTTTTGTCCACCATAAAAGGGACATATATTCAATATATAAAGTTCTGAGATGTATGCCCATGTTTATGTTTAGTCTTTATGCCTTATTAATTTCCCCATATTGACCTTAGGAGATTGAGGACCATAATTGTCCCAAATTGCTAGTAATGAAACAGTCTCTGGGAGGTGTTAGGGTTCTGTGGAGATTCAAAGTATACACAAACTTCCTGAAAGCTTTCAAGTCATAGTGCAAAACAAAACAAAACAAAACACAAAACCAAAATCAAACTGGCCAATTTTTCTAAAGCTGGCAGTTTTGTAGCTTATATGATTATTCATCTTTTTATTTATAAAATGCCTGTTAATATCCTTAGAGCTTAGTGGTTAGGAAACACTGCAAGTTAAACCAGCCTTAGGGTAGCACTAAAAAAGGTTTCCAAATCTCTCTCATCTGTCACCTTATTTCTAAATTATGTGATTAAAATTAAGTTCTAAATGTTATGCCAGTAATTTTCCCTAGAAAAATAGAAAAACTCAAGTTTGTTGCACATTAGTTTGGGATTTCAGATAGTCTGCCTTTTCAGATTGTTCCATTTCTGTCCTTGATGTTCTTTCTATTCCTTGCTTACTTTTTTTTGGTGTTGCTGGTCTGGGAGTTCGAACTCAGACCTTCACTTGGCTTTTTCCTCTCATTGCTGCCCTTATACCACTTGAGCCAGATCTCTTGTCCTCTTTTGTTGGTTAATTGGAAATAAGAGTTTCTTGGTTTTCTGCCTGGAATGGCTTTGAACCTCAGTCCTCTGGATCTCAGCCTTTACAGTGGCTAGAATTACAGGCATGAGCCACTGGTGCCCAGCCCTTGTTTATTTTTATTTTGCTGGTCCTGGAGCTTGAATTCTGGGACTGAGCACTGTCCCCGAGTTTTTGTGCTCAAGGCTAGCACTTTACCACTTGAGTATAGCTCTACTTCCTGCCTTTTGTGCTTAATTGGAGATAAGAGTCTCATGGACTTTCCTGCCCAGGCTGGCTTCAAACTGTGTCCTGAGATCTCAGCCTTCTGAGTAGCTAGGATTACAGGGATGAGCCACTGGTGCCCAGCTGTCTTGTTTACTTTTTTAAGAGGTTGCTTTTATCACCTTAAAGCAAATTTTACTACAGAGAACTTAAAACACTCTGAATAGCACCACTTCCCTTTTGTTTGCTTTTGAATGTATGTGATTACTTCAATTTTTTTTGTGTGTGTGCTGGTTCTGGAGTACTCCAGGCCTCTGCTCAGTTGTTAAGCTTTTTTGAATATTTCTTGTTATATATGAACCATCAAAATGACTTTGGGAATACACCTATGCATATCTGCAGAGTCTTCTGTTATGAAATCGAGACAGAAATCCCATCACTATAAGATTTAATGGAGGAACCAAGAAACTTCAAATAATTAAAATCCTTATGTTTATTAGTAGCTTTGAAAAAGATTTAAGTAAAGATTTTGGTCTTAAAATATCCATATTATTAAAATAATATATACTGAAATGAGGTACAAAGATATGCAAACAAAGGAAATTTGTCTTAATTTGTTTTTTTCTTTTTCTTTTTGATAATTCTGTATTCCTTACCTTATATATACCACGGGTATATTCATGTGCACATCTGTGGGAGTGTGGGAGGAGGGCACAGAATCAGAGGAAAAACAGAGAAAAAGTGCAGCAGTGGAGCGCACTGGCTGCACTAGTCACTGATGAAAGTGAACTATGAGAAAGGAAATGTACTTAATACCTGATGTATGTAAGGGTAACCCCACCGTATATCACCTCTAAAACAACAATAAAGTAAATTTAAAAAAATACATATTATTTAACTTGATAAATGGGCAAGACTAGATTGTAATGAATGAGAAAATGTTTTGTTCCCTATAAAGGAACACTTTTAAAAACTAGGTAGCCACTTAATAGTATATGACTTCCAGATTCTAAACATGTTTTACATATAATACAATTTTGTCTACTTCTGTCACTTGAGAGAGATGTGTTAAAGGTTTTCAGCATAAAATGCCATTTTCCTGGCTTCAACTTATAGTAAGCAACCCGGTGACATGTACATCTGGATCAAGTTGTACCAGTGGAATTTCCAGAGTTAGAAAGGGAAAAAATCCAAAGAAGCAGATCTTTTGTTTTTCTTATATAGGTAAGCTCAAGAAGGAACAAGTGAATATGTAAAGAGCCAAGTGGTTTGTATTCCATATTTTTGTGTAGAAAGAACAGAAACCAGAACATGGCTAAGTTCAGAATAGGAGATTTTTTAATAGACTGACTCATAGCATGAACAATCAAAAACTCATTCAAATAAGCTGTTTCATATGGAGCATGTTAAAGTGAGAGTTGGTTACACTTAGCTCAGTGTGTATGTGTGTGTGTGTGTATGTGCATGTAAGTTGAATAAAATGCCATCTGCAGTTTGTGCTGGTTCGGTAGGTCAGTTCTCTGCGAAGGCATTATTTGTTACTCGAATAGCTAAAGTCCCTTCAGTAACATTGATCTCTGCTAGATTTCTTATGGCCATCA